CCCCAAAACCCCAAAACCCCAAAACCCCATCATTCTAGCATAATATGGTTTTAATGTTATAAAATATAAATTTTCAGAAATGAATTAAAAGTTGCAACGAGAGTCACTGTTTCGTAATAGATCAGAGCGTCTTATGGATAGATTTCTTCACAAAGTTGAAAGTGTAAATAATCTCTTTTAATTAGATTAGAAACAAGTTTAAGAGCTTCAGCAAAAGCTATAAGTTATCAAGCAGAGACATCAGTTCGCATAGAAAAGGCTTAAAACAGAATCGGACCAACATTAAAAGGCTGAAGAGCTCAAGAAATAAGAAGAGGAAAAGAAAAAACAGTAAGAAATGAGAGAAAAGTATGCTAAGGTTGATAACTATGCTGCATTATGCAAGATAGTGAGTCATCTATATAACCCCAAGAAATTTTCGAAATGCCTGAACATGATTAGCGAACTTATTAAGGAATACTATGACTACTTTGATGGTAATACTATGTTTAACACATTTGATGCAATCATGAGATATGATAAGAAATTTGAGTCCAAGGAGGATCGAGAAATAATAGAGCAACTTTACCTATTTTTAATAGAGTTAAGCGATCATGATGAGGATCTATTTTCTGAAAATTAGGAGAAAATACTTGACTTGTATTATATTGCTGTCTACATTTAAAGTAATCTCTATACAGATGACTCGTTTAAGGTAATTTAAATTGTCTTAAATAAGCATAAATTAGTTTAACGAATTCGTTAGAGAGGTAAATGAGATGCTTGAAAGTTTAGAGCCCTATGACGAAAGATAAGATTAGTATAATGATTTATGCTGCTCTTAAACAATTGTTAAGAAGTTATTCCAAATTAAAAATGATGAAGATAATAATAATGATGAAAATTAAAGGGAGGATTAGCTGAGCCTATAGAAATGTGTATATGAAGAGGTATTTATACAAGAGTCTGAGGAGGATGATGAGCAAAATATAGTGATTCAATTTTTAAATGGTATTAAAAGAAGAATGTTTTTCGATACTTTAAAGTAGATATTTGGGTTTCATAAATAAGCTTGGGCAAAAGTCACTGTAACTCAAACAATCAAAAAGGTTTATCTTGAAAAGTAATAATTTAATAAAAAACTTAATATTATAGAGAAAAATTTAATGAGAGTGAAGAGGAATAGCTTGGAGACATGATTAGTATATTGTAAAACAAAACTTCCATGATGACAAGTATTTTATTAATCAATTTAACAAATTAATTTAGAAACACTCTAAGGCAGGGAGAGGCTGGACGAAAAAATAAAAGCAAATCCATTAGAGAGTGCTCATTAGGTCAAAGATGGAAGATCAGAGCGCGTAATATATGGAGATAATGGTGTAAATTCTTGGGCAAGCAAATAATCTGGTCTTTCTTGGTCAGATAGCAGATGATTATTTTATCAGCGATCAAAATTAATTTCATTAACCTACCCTGATCTATCAGTAATTCAAAATAATCCTTAATTTCTATAATTGAAATTAGCAAACTTATCTTATCTTAAGGGGTTTTGGGGTTTTGGGGTTTTGGGG